ATTTAAATGAGGGAAAAAAGACGAATTAGGGAGAATCAACCAATGTATGTATATGTACACTCTAAAAAATGCTGGGTTAAAAATGGACAAACCCAGCTATTGGGTTGTTTTGAACCCATAACAACCCAATAGCTGGGTTTGTCCCTTTTTAACCCAGCGCTGGGTTATATTTAACCCAGCATTTTTTAGATTGTATGTATGTACAGTATATATAATTTAATATAATTTATTATTTATAATGATTTGAAATGATTACACTGATCTGGCAAATTTTTCTCCAGACAGACTGATGAAAAACCCTGACCGACATGTAAACTGCCAACTATTTTCCCCTTTTGTCATTCAGGGCAGGTTTATCTGAACTAATTTATTCCACAATAATGACAAGCATGTAAAAATTTATTCATTTCTATATTTTTATTGAATTATTAATTAATAAATTTTTTAATTTTTAATAAATTTTTTATTGGATTATTAAATACATTTTTACATTTTAAATATATTTTAATGATTAAAAACTATATTTATCTACCTGGTGCCTAAACACAACTTTGTTTCCCGATAAACTGTGGTCTGTGGGCGTGCCGTCTGAGGCTGAGACTGTCATCTAAGAGAACATAGGGACATATACAGAGGCATGCTGGGCGATGGAAGGAGAAAAAAAGAAAGATGAAGAAAGAAGATGATGGCATTAGGGCCAAAATGATAGAGATAGAGAGGAAACTCTGTGCTAGTGTAGAGGCGTTTGTGTTTGTGAGCAAGTGTGAATAAGAACCAAGTGTATATATGTGTGTGTCGGGGTATAGCCAGGCCGAAGGAGCTTTGTGGGAGTCAGAGGCATCTGTAGGTTTCCATGGCAACTATGGGCCAATGCAGTGGTCTGGATCGCTAGAGATACCGTATATGTTATATGCGTCACCATCTGTGAGAGCACACATTCCTCATACTTTATACCTGTCCAGGGATTTTAGTCGTGTTGCGCTCGAAATGGACTGACCTGTCCGTTTAGCATAATTAATATCGCCAAGACCTGTCTAATACCTCATTAATGAGAGTAAGGAAAGTGTGTGACTCAATTAAAACACAAAAGACCTTTGAATTAAGGCGAAAATGTGCTGATAAGTTGAAAGCATTAGCTCGGAGCAGTCTGACTGCATGCTCGCTCCGTCTCTTAAGGAATGCCCACTGTACTCTGAGTTGCTGCCCACACGAGCACTTTGAAGACTGTAATGTGTTATTCTGTCTGTGTGTCTCTGCAGGCTTCCTCACCAATCCCATCATCCCGCACCCTTTGAATCCTAACGCATCAGATCTACACAATATCCTGCTCGGTTTTGCGCCCCCTCTTCGCTCTTGTTCTCTGTGTCCTGATGGATTGGAAGCGGCCTGATCCCTCGTTCTGTTGACCCTCGGGGCGAGGGGGTTGAGTGGAGAGGACAGGATTTCTCCAAATACGTTAGAAGTGTCCGGCTGTCGTTGTCCCGATTTCCTCTGATGGAGAGTTAGAAGAACTCCGGGGAGGGAGAGGAGTGGAGGAGCAAACTCAAAACCAAAAAACTCAAGCCAAGAATCATCACTAATACTGACCTTGTGTTGCTGAAACCTCCTGGACGAGAAGAAGTCATATAGATCAAACATCGTGGACCCAACAACCTAAGACTCGAGATGTCCACCACAGCGACCATGGGTGAGATGGCGAATAGCGCAGTGGAGTTTTACCCCAAGCGGGGTGGAGGAGGCGCAGAAGCCAACCATGCTGGGGACTTTGGGGTTACGTTGGAGGAGCTCCGGTCCCTGATGGAGCTGAGAGGAGCCGAGGCCTTGCAGAAAATTCAGGACAGCTATGGAGATGTAGAGGACCTATGCCAGAGACTCAAGTCTTCCACCAGTGATGGTGAGAGAAATGTTTTGCATTTCTGTCGTGATTTCTTGACGTCATCTCATACATCTCATTTAGTCCCTGCACTTTAAAAAATAAGGTTCCAAAAGGGGGGTTTCACAGCAAAAAAAGTTGGTTCCATAAAGAACTTTTCAGGGAACAGTTCTTTAAAGAACCTTTTTTTCTTAGTGTAAAGAACAATTTATTCCACTATTAGGGACCTTTTGTGTAATGAAAATGTTCCATAGGATGGTAAAGATTCTTCAATGAAACCATAGATGCCAATAAAGAATCTTTATTTTTAGGAGTGTAGCACATTATTCCTCATCAGATGCGTGTTTCTCATTGAGCTGCTTTAAAGGATTAGTTCACTCCAGAATTAAAATTTCCTGATATTTTACTCATTCCTATGTCAAGATGTTCATGTCTTTCTTTCTTCAGTCGAATAGAAATTAAGGTTTTTGAGGAAAACATTACAGGATTTTTCTCCATATAGTGGACTTCAGTGGGAGCCAATAGGTTGAAGGTCCAAATTGCATTTTCAGTGCAGCTTCAAAGGGCTCTACACAATCCCAGCCGAGGAATAAGGGTCTTATCTAGCAAAACAATTGGTCATTTTCTAAGAAAAAAAAAATGTACATACTTTTTTAACCACAATTTCTCGTCTTGCACTAGCTCGACTTCACACATTACGTAATCACGTTGGAAAGTGCGTGACGTAGGTGGAAGTACCGACCTAGTGTTTACAAAGAAAATGCAAAGAAAATCAAATTCCCTTTACAAAAAAAGGTAAAACAACGATGTCGGACGATTTTGAAGTTGGAGGAGAAAATGAGATGCAGTTTTTCTCCCTACCCTACCATTTTGAACCGAAATACATAGACAAAGAACTAACCACACGTGACCTTTTCAACATGATTACGTAAAGCATGAAGTCATAGACGCACAGAGCTAGTGCAAGACGTCTTTTTTTTTTT